AAAACGGACAGATTCTTGTATGTTCTGGAACATATAGTTTATTTCTTTATGTCTCCTTGGTAGCGATCCGACAACACAACCGCAATTATGGGTGTGTTGGAGGACTGACTCGCCGTTAAGCATATTTATTGTGGATGAACTACAATTAATTAATTTAGAAGTGAGAAAAGTTTTTTTTTTGATTGATTTCAAAATGGAACATTTGGTTTGTCAATTTTTATCTCCGGCTGAACAGTTAATGGTTAAATAAAAACTCACAATATATGGATATAATAAATAGCTCGGAGGTCCAAAAGTTGTGGGGAGTTTTATTTTTATACCCTCCACATGAAAATGTAGGTATATTAACATTGTCATTTCGTTTGTAACATCCCTAAATATTCGTCGTAGACCCCATAAAGTATATATATTTATGATAAGCAAAAAATGTTAATCCGATTTTACGATGTCCACATTATTTGACGTAGAACAGAACAATTTATACTGTGTCTAGGATGGTTAGTATCGAAAATGAGATATAACGGTATCTCCCGATATTCGTATTTTGATTATTTTTGTGACAATTTATCACGGATTTGTCTAAAAAAACAAAAAAAAATTGGCATATGTAGGTCATAATGGGCTCTAGCTCCGGAGGCGAAACATTGTATGTATAGGTCCATATTTTGGTATATCACCCATATAACGTTACTCCCGATATTTGGAATTTTTGTGATTTTCGCCACATTTTTCCACGAATTTTTCTAAAACTTGGTAATTGTAGTTCGTAATAGGTTCAGGCTGCTGTAGTATAGTATATATAGGTCCACGTTTTTGTATTGTCCCTACATAACGGTATCTCCCGATATTCGGTATTTTGATAGTCGTTTCAAATTGGGTATTTAAGAAGATTTGGCAGATGACAATCATCGAAGTATAAAATTGTCTATAGAGGTTCCCGTTGTGGTATGGCCCCATGTAACGGCCTCATCCACCTTATGGTTTTTGAGAAGTTTAACAGCATTATCAAAACGGTCTTACTGGTATTTGTAGTTTAAAGTGGAATACAGATACTTTTACTAAATTTTCTTCACCCAATGGGTTTTTAAAGTTTTGCCCGGCCGCACTTAATGTTTTTTACTTGTTTATCTGTAATTGCATAGTAGTTGTCTGATATGTTTAAATCTCCATGACATAAACAAATCCGCACAGTGGTACATTAAAGTCTCCACCGTTTCACAGATTAGACTTTAAGATTCCAAGGAATCTAGAAATATTTAAAGTTTTACAATCGATTTTTTGTTTGGTTGAAAATATGCAATTTACTTGTTTGGCACAGCCAAATAGGTGTTCTTTTATTCATATCTAGTGTATGAATGTATGTGTGTGTGTGATATGTTGGATGGAGATAAGTCAAGTATTTGTAGTGGCTATAAGTTTGGCAAGGGACGCATAGTCTGCATTTTTTTTTTTTTTTTTTTGTTTCTTCTATTCTCATCTATATTCGTTTTTTTCCAAAGCCGACGGATGACCAAATTGCTGTCGTTGCTCTACTAAATTTTCCTCGAAATGAATTCGTCCATCGATCGAAGTAATGAACACCAAATGGCAATGCTGATATTGAAGTCTTCGTTTAGATATTTCTGTTATCATAAAAGATATAGAGAAGTATAAATGCTGATTGCCAATTTTCTTGTAACAATCAATCACTTTGACGGGATAGAACATACGGACCCACATGTGTATGTCCTAATAAAGATACCTCTAAAATAAAAAAAATAACATTTTAAACGATTTCATAAACTGAATTCTGGAATTGGGAATAGATTTATGTGATTTCGAATGTAAAGGGTTATAATTCGAATATAAAGGGTTATAATATTGTAAATTAGATATATTGGTATAAATAAAAGCTTAACATGGCCAAATTTATTATTATTGGCATTTTTCCTAATAAATATTGGCTGTGTGTCGGCAAAATAACTTGTTAAAGTCATGTCACAGTTCATGTCAATTGTTGATTTTTTCATTTTGACTTATTAACTAATTAACCTTTGAGATTTTCGCGATAGACTAAAGCTTCTATGAAATTCCCCATTCAACAGGCAGTAGCGATGTCTCACTCCGAGCGACTGGAAAATCAAAATTCATTCGCTTGCCCTGTCCGCGGATTGAAGGCAAGAATATCAAAGCGAAGCGACTGTGTTTGGTGGCAAGGCTCACTTGTCGAAAAGTTGCCGCTTAATTCAGCCCACATTCAGATAATGTACTTCCATTTACTGAAATGTTTTTTTTTGGCGGCAGTATTCTCTTCTGTGTTTTTCTTCCTATTTTAGTTCCTCTTTGGGTCTAAAATATTTACAGACATGTCGTTTAGTTTGCTTTTTTGTGTTTTTGCTTGCCTATTTGCTATTTAAAGGCAGTTTTGCCATTTACATGTTAACATGGCCATATTACGGGTTTGCGCAAAACTGTGTGTTGTTCGTATGTGTGAGGCTCTATCCGTTTCTCGGTCTCTATTGCTGTGGATTTCGATGTCTTTATGTAGGTGCACATGTCTGTCTGTCTGCCTGTTTGTTTGTATTCATATACAAGTTTTTCTTTGTTGCTGTTGTTTTTCCCTCTTTTTTTTGCTTTCAGACAAATTTTACTTTAGTCTCGATAATAAACGTATGCCTAAACAGTTACATACATTCGTACATAGATATGTATGTGGGGGTATTTATTGCATTTCGGGGTGGCCGCATTTGGTTTGGTGAATACTTTTTAAATTGTAAAAATCTCGATATAAACGTTTTAACTCGCATGGCCACTTGCAATTCGGCATGCACGGCTTTTAAGTGCTGTGTTTACTAAACCATGTAGTTTCATTTTCCCTTGGTTTCCGTTGGTCTAAGGGGATTTATTTTGTTTCATAAGAAATGTGTTCCCAATAATGTTGGTCTAAGAGACGGCTTGGGGACGGGCAAGGGGTGAGGCGGACTGGTGGCCTTTTTGCCTTGCAAATAACAAAACTGAAAGCGGCGAAAAGAGTCGAATCACACAACAAGAAAGAACTCTTTCAGTTTTGCCTGCAAAACGCAAATTATGTTCGGGTAAATTGTGCCTGAGGCACTAAACATTGTTCCTTAAATTATCCTGATTACAATGAGGAAAGTGATTAATAAATACATACTTGCATGGCTGCGAGTTACATAGGTACACTTATATGGTGCACTTACATGTGTACATATTTGCATGTATAAATTGCTGTGTGCCTTCACACACACACACACATACATTTTATAAATAGTAGCATTTATGCATGTGTGAGTTGGCGGACAAAACTATTGATGTAATTTAGATAGTGTGTTTTACACTTGAAACGAAACGCTTGTTCGCAACAGTCATTGTAACTGTTATTATTAGATTTGGCATTGAAATTTTTGCCAAATTTTCTTGTATACAATGAAGTTTATTCATTCCAGTAATAAAGCAAGTAATAAAAGGAAAATTTTTGTTATTATTTTGGCTTTCAAGAACCAGTATGACAATCTCAGAATAATCTGAATGGATTAGAAGGTATGTTGCGGTGTCAGATTGTGGTTAATAATTTTATATCTAACAAGTTAAAAAGTATCAATCGTTTCTGCCGACAGACGTTTACCCTCAGCCAATGTTTGATTATTTAAATATATTTTGACTTCTGTTATGATTATTTAAACTGTTGACCCTCTATGGAATGGCTTCTGAAGGAATGGTCCAATATTGTCAATTTCGTATCGGACTTAAATAAATACGATATAAATATTGCGACGTGCCAGGTTTGGACTATATTCTCTTTAACTTTCTCTACTTTACATGACATATGTGATAATTTTTAGAAAATGGTAACATTTGCGTCTGGTATCAGAAGTATTCCATTTTCATACTTCCTCTAATACAAATAAAAATATTGATATGCACAAAATTAAAAGAAAATCGAACATCTATATCCAATTTATCGGAAATCATAAATTCCATATTCATCTTAGGTTTCCGGTTAAGGGAGATATACATGATTAGATATAGCAAGTTAAAAAGAATTGCTGACTCGTTTCGCAAGTTATGACAGATAAAGTATTGAAAATTGTGACCCTTTGTGAGTGAGGTACCGGAAGGGGTTTGCAGATATATATCATCTTCACAACAGATCTTGTATTAACAAAATGTTTGTATGTGTGAAGAGAGTTACATGCCTATTTTGCTTTTTATGAGCTTCATGGATATTCAAAATTTTAACCCTTTGTGGGGGAGGTACTTGATGGATTATACCGATATTGTCCATTTTCGACCCTGACCTTGCATTGACGCAAATATTATGATTTCAATGTTGTAACAAAATCGTGTTATCATTTCTCTTTCTATGCAGAAAATATATTTTTTGAACATTTCGGCCTTTTGTGGGGGAGTGGAGTGGACCGGTATTTCCCATCTCTGAACTCGATCTAAGTTTGACAAAAATATTACGATGTACCAAGTTTGGACTGTTACTCCCTTCAAGAGTGATCGTGCGCACTAACCAGCCAGAAAGACAGACGGACGGACATCGCTAGATCGACCCCAAATGTCCTGAAACGGATTTGGTTTAAATAGACCTAGGGCCTAAAACCGCTATTTCGACTAGGCAAGCTTTGACCGAGTCTCTATCCATATGGCTGAGGGTATTAAAGTTGATGTTGTAGTCTTTTGAACCTATTTTACTAAGGGACTCACTATGTATGATAAATGGCTTGTTAGTCACCAGTTTGTAACACCACATAATATTCGTTCGGAACCCAAAGGTTCATTCGACATCGATTTAACTAGTTCGTCAGTCTGCCAGACCTTTTCTTAAAATCATTAAAGAGGTCGCACACACACCATTTAACATATTTTGAAAGTTTGAGAGGAAATTTTCTATCGAATCCGTATTTAAGCGTTTCACAATCTCAGGCGATAAAAATTCACTATTTGATATGACCCCCATAGCAGCATGTCTTTATATTCGGCACTTCACTTACCCTTGTCCCGATTTCCGAACGAATGGACTGCAATTTAGCATATTGGGTTCTTGTCGGAAGAAAATTTGCAATACGAAAATTAAGCTGTAAATACAGCTGTATTGTTCAATTTTGGATAGAAGTCGCGGTTACCATTTTATTGTAAACTAATTTGATCTTCTTCGCTTTTTTAATTCGTATTCAAAAACCAAACAAACAAAAAATTTTTATAAAATTCGAAATAGAAATTCAAATTGAAAAAAATTCATGCTAGGCCTACATAAGGTCGGCAAGAAGACTGCTTTTGACAACAATTTGACAAAAAAGTTGCAAGTTTTTGCACCATTGTGGATTGACTCTCTTTAAATGTCAAATCATAATATGTCTTTTGAAAGAATTTGCATTATGCAATTGGTGAGAATTTTCCAGAAAAAAAATTATTCGTGATGCAATTCAAGCGTGCTAGTGTGATTTCTTTATATTTGGCGGGAAAACCACAAGTGGCCAAAGACCTAAAATGGCAAAGACTAGACAAAATGCATTCTGAGCAATTGGTTTGTGTCAATACTATCTAGATAACAGTTCATGACAGGACCATGTTAATATAAAAAACAGATTTATAGAAAAAAAATGACAAACAAAAGTTTGAAAAAAAAAACAAAAATTGAGTTTCAAAATTCTATTCCATAGACTTTCCAAATTAATTGCATATTGCCTATACGATATCATAACAACAGAGGTTGTTGCCATATCATGACTCTGTCTTGTCCCATCTTTATACTTCTATGTCTTTGAAGTGGCTATCGTTAGAGCACTCCAGCATTTAAATGTGAATAAATCTTCTGTGTCTCAAGACGTCAAGGAAGTGGGCGGAAGAAAACAGCAACATCAGCAGAAATGGTTCGAAAAGTAAATAAGCGACTTGATCGAAATCCGCGTCGCAGTGGCCGAAAAATGGCCCGTGAGCTGAATATATCGCAATATTCCATTCGGAAATACGGGTCACGGGTTGTTATCCCGCTTTTAATAAAGAGTGTATATATTATTTGATAGCCAAAAATATGCCTAAATTATTTTGGATCAAATCCGTTTCAGGACATTTGCAAACCGTCTGGCTGGCTGGTGCGCACGATGACTCTCGAAGGGAGTATCCGATTTTGTCAAAATTTTGTAATATTATTATCATACTTAAATAGAGTTCGGAGATGGGTAATATCGGCCCACTCCTACTGGTCAAAATTTTCATAGAATATAATTTACGTAATAGAACAAGGGCTAAGCCAGAAATGTGCTGGAAATAGTAGATATGGTTCAAATTTGGCACGTTGTAAGATATATATCAGAATTAGGTCAGATATGAAAAGGACGATACTGGCAGTTCTCGATTTTTGCATCCGAAGTAGGTCTGACAGTAATATTACATTGTGGAGGGTTGCAAGCGAATCAAATACTCCTTATACTTACTAAATCGATTGCAATTTTAAATATTTTCGTGTGAGGAGCTGATCGACACACATAATTTGAAATATCAAATTACTGCTGATCTGGTCGGGGCTGAAATCTTAAAAAAACACAATTTTGTGGTTATATCAAAATGTGAATCTACATCGAATACTTTTGCGTGGAATCAAACTACGTAATGGGAACCTGGACGTGGACCAACACTTTTCATTTACAATACCGAACATTCTACAAATCTAAGATCTATCGTGATTTCAACAGACGGACATGACTACGGTTGATAAGATTATTATCTTATCAGCCGTAGTCATGTCCGTCTGTTGAAATCATTTTCCGTATTTAAAAGATTTAATTTTGCATGAAGAACTACAGATGAAAGAGCTTTCTGCAAGATGAGTGCCGACTTCGTTAGCAGACGATCAAAAACGCATAAGAATGAACCTTTTTTAGGCTTGTTTGGATCGTTTTAAGCGAACTAAAATGAATTTTAAGCATCGTTCAATAACTGTTGACGAGACATCGATCCACCACTATACTCCAGAGATAAAAGAACAATCCAAACAATGGGCTGAAGCTGGAGGAAGTGCCCCTAAAGAAGGCAAAAACAATTCAATCAGCTGGTAAGGTTATGGCAAGGGTTTTTTTGGGACTTCAAAGGTATTTTATTGATTGACTACCTGCGAAAGGGTAAATTAAAGTACGAATTGGTTGACCACCCACCTTATTCTCTTGATTTAGCTCCCAATGACTTTTACTTGTTCCCAAATCTAAAAGAATTCCTAGCTGGCAATCATTTTACCTCAAATGAAGATGCAATTACAGTTAAAACCACTATTTTAAAAACCTCGAGGAAAACTATTTTAATCAAGGGATAAAATTTCTAGAAATGCGTTGGGCTTAGTGTATTGAAGTTTCAGGAGATTATATTGAAAAATAAAAATATTTTTGAAAAGTTCGAAGTTCGAAATTATAACATAGTTACAAATCTTGTGATCATACCTGCAATCAATAAGAAGTTAAACCCAATAAACTTTACTTGAATTCGCTGCCGCTTTAAACTTAAATTTCCCACCCCAAAAGGGACCCAATTTAAAATGCCTCGACTTTGAAGTCCCTTTTGTGAATGAGCATCAAAATAATTTACAATCATTGAAATTCGTACATTTATTTCAATCTAATTAGGAATGCTCTTTTTTTTGGTGCAGACTTATCATTATCTTGATTAGGCAGTTAGTTACTCAAAGAAATTTATATTCTGTTTTTGTTTCTAGCCAATTTTGGTCAATTGAGAGTTAATAATTGTATTGACATCGAACCGAGGCTTATTTAGTATATGGGAATTAACCCTACATACATACATACATACTGATGTGCATGTGTTCGCTGCAAGAGACAAATTGAAAGTTTATTTAAGTACGTCCAAGGATTGTGAATAAACACGGGACTTGAATGCAATTGAATTTGCAATAATTCGACCCGAGGCCGACAAAAAACACATCAAATACAAAATAAATTCTATTCGTAAACAACAAATATTTGTTTCCTTGTTAGGGCCTTCCAAATGAAGTAACAACCAACAGCACACAGGCACACATACACATGTACACAGTGTTTTATAAAGCGCAAAAAAAAACAACAATCGCAGCCACAGATAGACTAACTAATCCACATGTTTGTTGGGCGTGTGAGTGCCCAGTAAACAATTTTTTCCGACTGCTCTGATTTTAGATTTTTTTCCGAAATTTCTGACGTTTTTTTCAGAAATTTCTGATAGAAATTGGTCCGATTTTCTAAACGTTTTTTTTAGAATTTCTGCACATTTTCCTGTGTTTTTAAGCGAAAAAAACTCGAAAAATGTACAAACGGAGAGAGTAGATTGTCTATTACTCTGGCATATTCTCTCCCACATGTAAACGGATGGTGGTGGTTTGACACATTCTCTCCCATAGTAGTTGTTGTTGTGATCATTCATTTCAAGATCTCAACAACAACAAAGCGCAAAGCAAAAATGCTATTTGTTATTGTGAACTGTTAGATTTTCCGTTGTAAAAATGTGCGTTTTGTTGTTGTTGTGAATCAGCCTCTTTCTCTTTCGTTCCCAAAAAAATATGATGGAAAAAAATTGCAAAAACAACTACATACCGGTTTTCTGTGTGCACTGCTTTTTATTTTTAGTTCTTGTTTAGCATTTATAATGTAAATGTATTATAGATGTAATATTTAAACTACATTTTTACGAAACCCGAAATAAATTGTTTGTTTTTTAAATAAATATGTGTTTTTTTTTTTTTTTCATTTTTAAGTGGTGTGACGATTTTTTCGATATTTCTTCCGAATTCTGAACGATTTCTTTCAGAAAATCGGAACATTCTCCCGAATTCTGAGCGTTTTTTTTTTCAGAAAATCTGAATTTTATTCCGAATTTTCTTTCGAATTCTGACCGATTTCTTTCAGAAAATCTGAATATTCCGCCGAATTTCCAGACGAATTCTGCCCGATTTCTTTCAGAAATTCGGAGTTGTCCTCCGAATCTTTTCCGAAAATCTAATTTTTCTCCTATTTTTTCAAGAATTTTCACCGAATTCGGACCGAATTCGTCCAGAAAATCTAATATTTTTTCAGATTTTTTTCAGAAAATCTTTCCGAATTCGGTGACCACGTCCATACAACTTTCGTACCGAAATCGGAAGGAATTCGGAATCAGAATCGGACATTTTTTCAGAGATTCTGACAGAAATCGGACCGAATTCGGCAAAAATTGTTTACTGGGTGAGTGTGTGGTTCTTCTGTGTGAGTGTGTATGTCATTTAGAGTGGCTACCCAGTAAACAATTTTTGCCGAATTCGGTCCGATTTCTGTCAGAATCTCTGAAAAAATGTCCGATTCTGATTCCGAATTCCTTCCGATTTCGGTACGAAAGTTGTATGGACGTGGTCACCGAATTCGGAAAGATTTTCTGAAAAAAATCTGAAAAAATATTAGATTTTCTGGACGAATTCGGTCCGAATTCGGTGAAAATTCTTGAAAAAATAGGAGAAAAAATTAGATTTTCGGAAAAGATTCGGAGGACAACTCCGAATTTCTGAAAGAAATCGGGCAGAATTCGTCTGGAAATTCGGCGGAATATTCAGATTTTCTGAAAGAAATCGGTCAGAATTCGAAAGAAAATTCGGAATAAAATTCAGATTTTCTGAAAAAAAAACGCTCAGAATTCGGGAGAATGTTCCGATTTTCTGAAAGAAATCGTTCAGAATTCGGAAGAAATATCGAAAAAATCGTCACACCACTTAAAATGAAAAAAAAAAAAAACACATATTTATTTAAAAAACAAACAATTTATTTCGGGTTTCGTAAAAATGTAGTTTAAATATTACATCTATAATACATTTACATTATAAATGCTAAACAAGAACTAAAATAAAAAGCAGTGCACACAGAAAACCGGTATGTAGTTGTTTTGCAATTTTTTTCCATCATATTTTTTGGGAACGAAAGAGAAAGAGGCTGATTCACAACAACAACAAAACGCACATTTTTACAACGGAAAATCTAACAGTTCACAATAACAAATAGCATTTTTGCTTTGCGCTTTGTTGTTGTTGAGATCTTGAAATGAATGATCACAACAACAACTACTATGGGAGAGAATGTGTCAAACCACCACCATCCGTTTACATGTGGGAGAGAATATGCCAGAGTAATAGACAATCTACTCTCTCCGTTTGTACATTTTTCGAGTTTTTTTCGCTTAAAAACACAGGAAAATGTGCAGAAATTCTAAAAAAAACGTTTAGAAAA